AGTCTTTTACACGCTCTATAATAATCATTTTATGTAGATTATAAATTATGATGGCACTACTTATTACAGTAAAAAATCAATTTAACTCGCAATAATTTCATTAATATTAACAGTAAAGAACTGAAATCATAACATAACAACTAATATACCATAAAGGCATGTAACAAAGTAATTGACGGAAAATTATCCCCACTCCTTCTATTTTTTCTGACTTCTGCGGCGTATTTTCTGACGCGGCGTATATACCGGGTTTACCCTACATTACTTATTATATATATATATATATATATATATATATATTTATATACATATTTCTTCCCATTTAGATAAAATTTGAAACTGTCCACGAAAAAATAAAGCTTTTTTTTATAAATTATTTTTGTTATAAATGATCATAAATAACAATATACAAACCTTTTGAGGAGAACACAGTTTCATTATAGTAACAGATTGTTTATACAGTTGCTCATCTTTATGGTACTGAAGAGCTTCTATTTTCTCAAATCCTCTAGCTTTTTTTAACATCGTGACGAATATTTCTTTTTGTTCTTCATTTTTTGCAGCAAGCAAGACTTTAGTCAGACCAGTTAAAGCACAAAGAATGTTGTAACAGTCATCTGAGTGAAGTAAAGCACAATATGCCAGTAATACATTGTTATTCACAATCTGAATAAACTGTTGATCTGTTCCTCCTATTATCATAGTAGATACAGCCCATGCGGCCATTGCTTGTGCGTTTCCCTAAAAATTGATAGATATAATGACCTATAAAATTTTGTATCAAAATTTGTATATTTCTTTATATTTATAATGAATCTGATTTAACATAAATAGTGAAAAGTGAGCGGTTATGATGTTATGAAATACAGAGTTGTAGAATTCTATAGTTTGCGTATAATTTACGCTGTATTCACAGTCTGCTTGAATTTGATAATATGCCATTACTCATTAGTCGTTACTGTTTATCGTGTTGTAAAAACTGTTTTGCAGAAAACAAGGAAATGTAAAAATGTATATTGTTAATAAAAAAAATTGTTTTACAATAAAAGAAGAGCAGATGACAATTTTAAAATTTTAGTTTAATCTATGATTTGTTGACAACTGTTTTTTTTCCTCTTAAATACTTACATATGCTATTCTGTTTATCAATATTTTTAATAGACCAGCATCTATTATACTTTGGATTTGGTCCATATTGCCTGCCATTTTGCAAATTATCCATATAGTTTCTTTTTCAGTAACATCTTCCTTGTCACAATGCAACGATAACACTGAACGAAGACACGGCAATCCTCCCGCGGTAATGACATCATCCTTGTAAGCATCATCACCAAATTCCACTATATTTCTTATGGTAAGCAATGTTGGAAAAAAGATACCTTTTTTCTCAGAGGTCAAACACTCTAAAAGTTTCGGTAGAATACCAGTTTCCATTATTGCTTGTACATTACTTTTGGATCCATCAGTCAGGTAAGAAAGTATCCGACAGGTATCAGCTGGAACAAACGACACAACAATAAAAATCTCAAAATTAAAACCTCTTATGAAAAAATACTATTAATCGCGAGAAAATTGTTTTGGAAATAATTGGAAAAATAGTTGTAAATTATTCAAATTAATTATTATACATACACATATTCGTTTTAATAATTTTTGACTAATCTAATAGTACTTTTCCACAAGGAAATATAATTACACAATATATACTGATTGTTCCATTTTAAAGGACAAATATCCATTCAAATATCTTAGAAATACTTCGTTAAACTGAAAAATGTTTCAGACAAAGTTTTATGACTTCGAGGGAGATATAAGATGGTACTACTGATTTCAGCTTGGATGGCGTTATCAAAGTTAATTGATGAGCAACGAGTTTTGATTTTTTTTTCAAATAGAAGTCCCTAATTTTTTATTGCATATTCTCGTAGCTTACCTCAAAAGCTTTACAAATCGCTATAATAAAATATTGTCATTTTCGAGTTACTAGGCTTGAAGGGTACAGTTCCGTCGGCATGAAAATTTACCTAAGATATACTACGCGAAGTTCGCTAATCGGATTTACACCTTTTTTATGTTCAGAAAAAGATTGAAGAATGATCGAGAGCTAAACTGCTTGAATTGAATGTTGGCATTAACAATGGATCATTCCTCAATCTTTCTCTGAACACAAAAGAGATGTAAATTCGACTGTGCAACTTCTGCATGGTACATCTAAAGTAGTGTTAATGCCTGTATCTTTCGAGCCTATAGTAACTCGAAAAGTAAGCAATAAAAATATATTTTATTATATCATTTTTAAAAGCTCTCAAGGTAAACTAAACGAGAATATACAATAAAAAATAGGAGGTTCTAAAAACTTCAACGTGTCTTTGCTCTGACCTTGATAAAGACACCCAAGGTCAAATCAACGGTATCATCTCTGTCTCCCTTGAAGTTATAAAACTTTTGTCTGAAACATTTTCCAATTTAACATTGTATTTATGAGATATTTGAGTAGATCCCTTTAAAATGGGACACCTTGTATATATTATAAAATAACGATAAACCACATTGAGCGCGAATATCTTACAGATTATGTAATCATTTTCAATACTCAGCAGACGATTTAAAACTGGTAAAATATGTTCCATTTCTTTAGAAGTTCGAGTTGCAGTCTTTTGATATAAATTAGATAAAAGCCATGTAATGTTGTCCATGAGTGTTATCTGCAGATATTCTTGGTATCAGAAAATATTGAAATATTGTGTACTAATTATAACAAAGATATGAGTTTAAGATTTTATTTGGCATAAATTTGACTATAGCTTTTATGTTAAAATCGCTCACAGACATACTAACATATCAATTTTTTTTTTTTGTGAATTTTTATAAGTATTTACTTTTCACATCGTCTCTTATAAGAAGCTTTGTTTAACATTGCTAGATGCATCAACATTTCTTTATTGTACACAATTTTTTCTTTTAAAAAACATTTATGAATTTTATTTCTTAAATAAAAACTGTAATTTAAATAGATAATTATGGTACTAATTGTAAGAATATTATATTATAACCTAAATGTTTTAATGAAAAAAATATTGATAAAGTTTAATTATTTTCAGTGTTTTGCACATTGTAAAATATAATATAATATAATAAGTATTATAAGATATGTATAATATAATATGAAAGTATTATAAGATATGTATAATATAATATGAAATTTATTCATCGTTAGTTTAATAATTAAATACTCCTAAATATGTTTAAAAAATGTTTTTTGTCACTTATTATTATTCAATATTACTCTACGGACAAAATTATTGTTTCCAATTGTCAATGCTGACAATGTATAAAAAAGTAAGAAAGGTAAATGTGTAATCAAAGCATGCTTTTAAATATAATGTTACTTACGGAAGTATCAGGTTTAATAAAATCAATTAAAATAGGTAGAGAATTACATGAAAGGGCAATATCACGTGCATAGGGAGTATCAATTACATTGCATAAGACACACATTGCTAGTTCCGAAATTATTGAAGATTTATGTTCAAGTAGGTTTAATAATTTTGGTATTACTTCATATTTTATAACGTTCTCTGATTTTTTTGATGTATCCGAAGTTATAATATTTAATAAAGATGTTACTTCAAATTGTAAGGAGATACTATATAAATAAAATTGTAGAAATTATGTTTTATTCTTGAATACATGAAGATATAAATCTGAATATAATGGTCAATAATATACGAATAAATTGAAAACAGAAATAGTTAGAAATGAAGTTAGAAATATCGTCATTTGCGTATGCATTATATATATATG